TACTCAGATACAGGATATAAATATCAAAGTATCTACTGAGCTTTACAGACATTATCAAGTAATAGAGAAGAGATCTTAACACTATAAATTTGTTCTACTAATAAATCTTAATTATGATATCTTTACTGTTCTCTCAAGTGAGTTCTTCATAGTTATAAATAAATAAATAGAACTTTACAGAGCATGCTTAGACAATTTCCATCTATATCAAAGATCTCAGCCTAAATCTTATCAATGTACACTAGAGTTAGCTTCTGCCGAATAATTATTTATTAACTAAATATTTATTTCTTGAATGTTAATTTATTGAATATATATGATATTCATTGGAAATCTGGTTTTTAAATTAATAATTTATGTATTAATTATTTACTTTAAATGGTTAAATATTTACTTATTAATTATTTACATGTTAATTATTTACAGATAATAAAAGTTGTAAATAACTTAGGACCAATTTGGCATACACATATATAAAAATACTATTGTATTTCACGGAAATAGCATATAAGTTAAAATAAAAATACAGTAGTATTTCAAAAAATAATAGTGTTCGGCAACATACTTTTACTATAGTATTTTTCTTCATAAGTAATATATTATCTGATGTCTGTAATGGAACTTATATAATATGAGTATGTTTTTTTGTTTTTATTAAATATGTAGTATATAAGTAAATTACTGTAATGAGGGCTCCTGGTAAAAAGATAGATTCCAAGGTTGTGACTGCACCAAAGTGTTCTTTCTGAAAATAAAAATAATGATAAATCAACAGAAGTGCTGAAAAAACAAGACAGTAAAACTTAACATCGTTAAGCCACAGCTTTACTCAATTAAGTCCTGATATCAAGAGGTAGCTGATTGTCTGAATAGAGGAGAATTGCATATATTTAAGCAGATTTCATCTACTACTAGTTGCTTCCTATTACTACTTTACATTTGTAAGTACCTAACTCTTGTGGGCTACCTAGCTAACCTTTATGAGTCAGATCAAAGATTCTCTGTAGTGAATTAGACTACTCTGTTGTTCTTTAACATCTATCTAATAGAAGTGTTTTTGCCACTGCATTTTTAATACAACCATAGGAGTAAAAACTCTTCATATTATAGATATGTAAGTAGTTAACTGCCTGTCTGAGCAGATGCTATACCAACTATGAGGCTCTCTACCCATTTATACCTAGTCTTCTACAAGCATTTGCTGCCTCTGAAAATCTATCTAGTTCTACTCTATTTAATATTATTCTAGATAATGGCTGAGAGGCTCCTCCTATCAGCAAGAATTGGGGCTTGCACCAAGAGCCTTCTTAGAATTTGCTATACAGAGAGCTCAGAATGCTAATCGCGAATGAGAACACAAGGTCAGATCTTAGTTATGTCAGAATGCAATGGTGTTGCTACAGAACTAACAGGATGCAACTTGATGCTATACTATATCCTCTAAGCACAGCCAGGTGCAGTACTATATTCTCCAAGCGGAACCAGAGATAGCACTACATCCTTATGGTATAAGAAATACCTAAAGGGGTCCCTCTTTACAGCTATATAACTACAGTTATAATTGAATTTGTATACATCTGCGAAAATTTATATACATGTCAATAATCCCTTTCTTGGATCTTTGGGATTGGATAACTGAGCATAGTCAACTTTCTCCTTCTCCATATAACGGTATTAAAGAAGAGCTTGTTACGTTTTTATAGACTGCAGGACATAGAGCATCAAATCTAAAGATACAGGAATGGTTTTAGCATAGCAGAATACTATGCCACGGTAAGAAAGTGTTTTTGTTTTATTATAAGTAGCTATTATTAAAATGTATCTAGTATTTAATCTAATAACTAGTAGTTTTATGCAGTTTTTGAAGTGAGAACTGGGAGCTGGAACTAGGAAATGGAGCCAGAAGTAGCCGTAGCAGGCAAAAGCAAGATGTAAACCCAGCAGGCTGCTGGAGGAGTGTTGAAAGTTTGAATTTGAGAAGAATTGAAGCGACTGGTAAAAAAAGTTTTCATGAGGCCCTAAAGTGAAATGTTTTCATATGTTTGCCACTAGTAAATAGTAGTTCCTAACTGGCAACCATTTTTCCCAGATCCATGTATTTCACACTGGAATAGTTCAAAATGGGCCCAGAGTAACTGAACTGGGCCTTAAGTATAAATTTGAAATTGTTTTTTTGGAAGATAAGGTCAAACTTGGAATTTAGTCGAGATTAGTTTAAGGGTATTCCTATGATACCAGCATTTGTTTGGTATGAGTATACAGCTCTAAGTAGAGAAATAATTGACAATATTGTACAATATTACTAAAAACAAGCTTGAATTTATTTATCTATTACTTTTTTTATTTTTACAAAAATACTATAGTAAAAAATTCTATTGTACTTTTATAAAAATATAATAGTATTTGTAGCATGCCGAATACTAGGCTAAACTAAAATAAAAATACTGCAAAAAATATGCCATAAAAGTGGAAATACTATCTTATTTTTATCTTACCCAACAGGATATTATATTCTAGAATAAATTCAATGTATATCTCAGAAATGTCGGTATTCATTTGGGCAAAAACAAAATAAAAATATATGCTAAGACTACATGTATTCCATCATTATTACTGTAAGAGTAGGATTGAAAACAGTATTTTAAAGTAAAAGAGCCTAATATTACTAATCTCAATAGGATATTGTGCTACTTGGATAAGCAATACATAATGTGAGTAATACAAATATGCTCATTCAATTGTAGAAAATACTCTGTATCGTACTATATCAAGTTTTAAATTGATTATTTGTTATATACAAATAGTTTCTAATATAGTCATTTTAAAATAACATGGTAGAGGGCATTTTTTTCATAGCCTTAACCTATATTCTATATTATTATTAAGCTATAAAAATATATTGTGATATTTTTATACATGCAAAACATACTACTATATAAAAGGTTTTAGTTGCCATAATTTATACTATAAATTTTACTTTTATGACAAAAATGGTGTGCTGAACAGGTTCTTAAAACAGTATTTTTTATATTGTTTAACGTACAAGGTGGTATCAGTACTGGTTTTGTGGGCTGAAATCCTTCGTCCTCATCCAGGTCCTGGAAGGCAAGACTAAAGTAACACACCAATTATCAGAATGGTATTTATATCTTACTAGACTGTCTCTGAAGGACATTACACTGCTGACTATTTTATTACATCTCATGAAGATCACTGTTTTCGTAGTGATAGCATTACTCTTAGGTAGTAGCTGACTTTAAAGCAGATTGAAACTACCTTTCCCACTCTTGCGATAAAATCAAAAAACACAATTAGGAGGCCTGCACTTAGAGCCAAAGCGCATTGTTGAAATACTTCTTTCACAACTAACACGCCACGAAAGGTCAGAAAAATGCCATTTTTTTTGGCCAGCCAAATAGGGCCCTTACTCTTTTGCCAATCCTCGAGTCACCGGCGCTGAAGTTCCGTGAAGTTTGGTATACGAACGAAGGGGTGTCGACCTTCCCAGACACAAGCGCTCGCTGGCTCGGCGAATGCGTGAATCCCCTCCACGGAGAGTATCTCAATCAACGATTCCTGCAAAAGGATTTGCCGCCCGGGGTGTAAAAGCATAACTTAACCTACTCGTAGACTATAGTATGAGTAGGAATAGTGCCAAACCTGGAAACGCTAATAGATGGACAACCACCGGTCGTGGGCTATACATGATTGGGGTACGGTATCTTGCATAAAAATGAATCTGTCTTGAGGGCGGAGGTAGAGACTTCTAGTCAGGGTTCCTCTGTACCGAGACAACTCTTGGTTGTTGAATTGATGGAAATGCGAGGTTATCGGGAGTCCTGCAGGGGACAGTCTTGGGTTGTACGAGTACTGTGGGCCACGATTGAATTATCATAATATGCGAGAAGTCATGAGATGGGTCGGGTTTTAAGTTTTCGATGTTCTTGAGGGGCCACTAATGTGGGTTTTTGCAGTGTCCCCAGGACATGCGTTCGTTTCTTCTACCGGGTAAACTGTGGCTTATTATAGATAAGGTATGGAGCTGAGAAGAATTTGTAGAAGTGGGGGGGTTTAAGCAGCTTAGGCCTCCAGGAGAATAAGGTACCGACGAGCGGAAGACTACAGCATGCTGGCGCGATAACACCTTCTGGCTCAAGAAGGTAATTTAGTAGTATCAGAAAATTCCTTGCTACTCCCATGAATCATACCGGTAGTGGGGAACCCGTCCTCGAGGGTTTAGACAAGCCCCCCGCTCCCTGCCCAGTAGAAAATCGCCCCGATAGGACCATTTAGACTGCATTTTCGCACTGAAACAGGGCTCTCTAGCTTCCCGAGAAACCGCCTTCACCAATGCCCAGCGCCCACAAATTTCAGATCTCCTATCCAGTAGTGATAGCATAACTCACAGGACTCGACCCCCCACCAAACGCCTCACATCTCAGATACGGTACAGTACCGAGAAGCAGCGGCACCCAGCCAGTCTGCATGAACCCCCCTGTCTTAACATACTCGGCGCCTCCCGTAATTGACCCAACCCGCACCCGCATTTCCAACTCCCCACCAGGGTGCACTCTTGAACCAACATGATCCTGCAATCGGCCACCGCAAAGGACGGAATCCGGAAGACCCACTGATAGTCCCAACCTCATCCCCCAGGACTGACGCAGACTCCCGCGTGCCACACCGCCTCACCCAGGACGGGCGGTGATCCAAAAACGGCCTCACAGAAAAGGGAATGCCCTCTTCGCATCCCAAAAACAAGTTCTTCCAAGGCAAGGCATGTCGTGTCGTTGCGGTTCCCCAAGGTTAAACTCGGGGTCATGGTTGGCGCAAGGAGCAAGAACCGCTATTCCCTTTCGGGAACAGGTGAATGATTACAGATGTGCCAAGAAGGAAAAGTTCATGGATTCTCTCTCGTAACTACGACACAATGATGTCACTTGTCTTCACCATAGAACCACCGAACGCGTCAAGTTCCCAGCGGACCTTGACCAAGCTCTATCTTCCAGGAACGGGGGAGTGGAATTCAATGACGTTTGATGGATCTTCCAGGAGAGGAGCCCTAGATAGACTACGAGTACGAGTACGAGTACATGAATTGATGAGGTGCCGTAGAACAGTTGGTCTTGAGGTAAGAGGAATTGTTATTTAAAGAGCCGTGAAGGCCTACGTTGGAACCTCCTTTCTACATCGACAATCATCTTGTTATATTCATCGAAAACTATCAATTATACAAATCTTACCTCTAAAAAACCCTTTCCCCCAGCAAACATCAATCAACATGTCCGAACCTTTCCGCAAAGACTTCTCCACCCAGGCCAGGGAGGAGATCGTTTGTTTCCCTTCCCCTCTTCTACAGCTCTCCATCGTTAGTACCTTTAGTTAACTATAATATCCACAGACTCCGGACTCCTCCAAGTCCACCCTGGACCGTGCAAAAGAGTGCGTCACTGGCACCGCCGACAGAGCAGCCGGCGGTCTCCAGAGCGACCACCACAAAAGCAATACACAAGAGGCTTTCGACAGGACCCGCCGTGAGAAAGACTCCCAGAAGGACAACAGTGAAAGTCTTTTGGACAAGGTTAGCCTCACTCACCACCAGCTGCTTGAAGAATGGGGAACTAAACGACGTGCAATTAGACTAAGCACGCCCTCGGTGTTGACAAGCACTAAACACACGCCACCCATAGTGTGTCATTGACGGGTGGGCCTCCGGATTTTTGGAGTTCTTGGGGGTATCTAAATTACCGGTATGACGGATTCGAGTGTGTGGATGTGTTGGGGCTAGTGGGATTGGACCTTTGTTAGCTTTTAATATATCTTATTTGAAGAGTTGGTTTTCTCGACGAACCCAAAACGTGAAATCGAGTGAAATCGAGTGAAGCATCCAAACGTTGGTCTCTTGGTCTGCTCCCAGATTTCACAAACTTTTAGTATAAAATATAGATACCTTGCTATGAATGTTTTATGATAAATACTCGTACTTGCAGGAGTGGCCATAGAGTAAGCGAGGTCTGAGAATATGAGAAATGGTTGGCCGACTGGAAGCATGTCTAGGGAGCTGCCTCTAAAGTCCTAGATGAGAACAGTCACTTGGTCTGTTTTTTGCCTCTGCTCAAGTAGGTAAATCGTAGCATGCTAGACTACTAGTAGATCCAACTGTGAGTCTACAAAGTAGGCAAAAAGTACTCGAGTAACGGTTGCCTCATCCAAGACTCGAGTTTCCCGTCATGTCATACTATCATACTATCCAGGCTATCATGGATCAGCTCCGCAAGTCCTTTTGGCATCAAGGGTCGGAGAACGACTCACCCACATAGTAACCTGAATATCAACCCCAGACAGAACAGCACACCAGTCAACCCTTAAGGATCCATCACCCACAGCTCTCGCCAAGTATGACAGGCGCCCGCGAGTAAAAAACCCTTCAGAGTCCCTGACATATCGGTAGTCACACCTTAGCCGCAACACCCATTTTAGTTTCGGGAATCTATGATATTGTTGGATATCGTCATGCCTATCATACCACAGATTGTGTCAAGGAGATGTCTATATATCGGGGTATGAAATATCTGAGGGAGTTTTTATGTATTTAAGGGAGATGTTTATCCAACCTGGAAAGTGAGTCACTTCTAAGATACATTTTTCTATATAATTTTGTCTTCTATTTATCCAGGTTATTGTGATATGATACAACAGATATTAATATCATATCCTACCTCCATAATACCCTTATCCAGCCCTCATTGCACAAAGCGCGAAGAAGCCCCGTACCCGGATACCAAACCGAACGAACAAATGAACTTCTATTCCCCTACCCCTCACGTGGCATATACGAGCACATGATCCCACATAATCTAGGATATGTCACCTCACCTTAACTTTACTTACCAATGCCGATGCCCTCGTCCTCCATTCCTCATGGACCATCACTCGAGATTTCCAATCGGGGTGCAGGAGGATCTGGAGTCCCTATGGTGAAGTTTAATGCTGGGATCCGATAGCAGGTATCACCGCAGTCCCTACTCAATCTCACACTAACATCGAATTCTACTCTCGAATAGAACACCACGAAGTCTAGCAGACTCGAGGCAGAGTTCAGTAACACCGGCCGATTACCGTGTGGGGCAATACTGAGGTGCCGAGTGTACAGTACTGGCACATTGCAGTCCTTAGGTTGGGTGGCCAAATGCACATCCCCATTGATGGCCCGCAATCATACCGGTATTCCAAAAGGGCGCATCACCTAAAACCTCCCTCCGAAGCCGTGCCACGCCATACTATACCATCTACCGTGTCCGGGATACCACACCATACGCGTAGCGGGCAGGAGGTACCCGAAATTGGGGGTCACGAATTTGCGCTGGTACTGTACTCGTACTGGTACGAGCACGCGTGCTCAGATAGGCGAGGGCTTTTCGCCGTCTGTGTCGTGAATTGCCTGTTTAGGAAAAAAAAAACGAGAATAGAGGGAGAGGGAGAGAAGTAGAAATGCAGTAGTCCCGTCCCAATGGTTTATGGTGGCCAAGCCAAGTGCTAGAAAGGCTCCATGCAAAAACGGAAGTGGCGTTTCCCGTGTTTCATCGGAATAAGTAAATAATATAGTCCCTCACTCGGACATATCATAGTTGAACTCGTGGCAGCGAGAAAAAAGAAAGGAAGATTGATAAATTTTCCACATCACACTCTAGGAGTAAATATAGCTTAGTACCTTGCGGCACAAGTGGTGCTGCACGGTACTCGTGGTAAGGTATGTAGGTATGTAGGGGAAGGAGGGAATGAGAGATAAGATGCCAGATGAATCGAGATGATCGAGTGAGAATCTATGATACCAGTAACAATAAGTTTCGGCACCTCTTCAAGTATTGAACCGTAAGGGCCTGTTTGGGGGGAACGGAGGGGGGGTCGACCGTTCCGTTCATACATACAAAACCATCATTTCGAAAAGGAAGGACGACCATTTTTGTACGGGGAACGGTCGCAAACTGAACGGAACGGTCGTTGCCAAACAGGCCCTAAGTTCCTTGATTTTCAAGGTGTCAGTGGGTTTTTGAGACCCGTCCTTGGCACTTGTACGGAAGACAATATTACTTGCTCAACAGCCAATGAGACCCCGAACTAAAGAAGTTAATAACTGCTGCTATGCACCCAAACACGCTCTTGCGGCCACACGACTCCGAGGTGATGACTTTGTCTTGGAAATTTTGCACAAAAAAAAAAGAGTCGATTAGACTGCAGGGGCCAGATATGGTACCTGTGCGAGTACTGTGCTCGAGTAGGGGCACCGGTGCCAGGAACAACACCCTTCCGTAGAGCCCCGCTATTCCCATAGAACCATCCAACCAACAAGCTTTTTTCAAAAATGGCCATAAGCCAAATACACCAATCGGCTTCCCTTCCCCCTCCCCCCCCGCGCCCCCAAGTACCTTTTCCCCTAGAACCACAGCTAGGGATTCCCGACAATCCAGCAGGTTCATTCATGGACAAAGATACGCCAGGATAGACTAGGGTAGATATATTCAACGACCGGCTGAGTTGGAGAAGAGTAACAAATCCCCGCGGCCCAACTCACCACCCCTAGCAATCTCCAGAAGAAATAGTTTAGCTGAAAACATGCGAATACGAGTACGTCCCAGAATCCTCTAGCATCTCAATCGTGCGCAGCCCCCACCAATTATGCGGCTTATGGAGTCTTGTGCTTCATCCCCCTCCTCCCGTTTGGCGAACTGCATACTGGTATTCTGGGTGGGGTAGAGCAGGGAACGGTGATGCAAGTTAACCACCAATTAACTGTAACGACATTTTGAAGCAAAAGCCTTAGCGCCATAGGGCTTGCTCCATAGCGTTGGTCGGGGAGGGCGGGGGAATATCATATTGTGCTTTATCGTATCGAAGTGCTTGGAAGCGTGTACGAGTACTGTCACCGTGGGCCATTGCGGTGCGAGTACTCGTACTGTACCATAGGATTCCCTTACACCCCTTGCATCGTTGATCTCTAGAATTTGCACCTGGTGGCGGGGAGGGAGTTTACCATGAAGATGGTAATACAGTACTCGTACTGTACTCGATCACCGTCTGTAAGCATGGTGTGATAGGATATGGTGGATACATTTGAGGTTGATCCATTGATTGATTTGACAAGAGTTAAATTAGTTTATCAATCCTTGGCGATATTGAGAATTGGGCTGGGTGCGCAAACAACTCGGATGGGGGAGTTGATCCATGAAGCCACTCAATCAAATTTATTATCCTAGCGTGAGTTTTACCGCTGCCTTTTCGAAAGATTTAACGACTTGTTACACAAAGCGGATATGAAGTTTTTTTTTTTTTTTGCAAATCAACGGATCTTGCACCATCGCCGCTGGCTCCAAAATACATTGGAGAATGTCGAGTTATCTTTCGGTTCACATCTTAGGGAGAACACGGTGTTAGGATGTCAGGGTAGGTCCGCGAACAGCCAGGTTTTCCCTTACTGTGAACTAAGCTACATACAGTCGGGGGACAAAAGTTTCTCCGAGGCTTGAAAAATCCGCCTGTACTCGCCTCTACGACAACGATATTTCCTACTTCCCCACCCGAACCATATATTGAGACCATACAATAATGAGTGAGAGGATTAATTACAGATAGCAGAAGACATATATGTAAAAAGAATTCAAAAAAAACAGTCAATATTTGGTATACCAGCCATTTGCTACAATAACTACACAGATTCTAGATGGCATACTTCTCCACAAATTCTCTAGATATTCTGACTCCAATGTATCCCACACAAGTGGAAAAACCACAGCAGGCATCTTCTCACTGCTTCTGGTCCTCCTTTTGTATCCCCAATATCAGGATACATCCTTTGCATTTTCTCCTTAAGCTGATACCAGAGGTGTTTGATTAGATTCAAATCTGGTGAGCATCCTGGCCATTCCATCACTTCAACTCCATACTTATCATGCTATTCCTTTACCACATTATTCTTATAGACTCTAGAGTTGTCTTCCATAAAAATAGGGCTTGTACCAGTGGTTTCTTGCACCTTCTGCAGGACCGGAGGTAAAAGATAATCTAAAAAATCTTTATAGATAAATCTATTCACAGATTTGACTATTAAAGAAACAAAGATACCATGATATGAACCCCAAAAGGATCTCCAAACTATCAGCTTCACTTCTGAACCCTTTTCATATGTTTGGATACAGTCTTTATTATACTTTTCATATGGCGTATGGAAGACCCAAACAGTCCATAGATCCTTACTCTTTTCTACACTGCATTTGTCCCTCTATATGACCTGCTCTCAATCCTCCTCACTCCAATATGCATAGTGTAAAGACCAGCATAACTGTTCTGCTGCATAGATCTCAATCAATTTTGCTCTCTTCTTTACATACCATTTTTTAACTACTGCCTTTGCTAGGATGCGCTTGATAGTCTGTATACTGACATTCGGAGTCACTATTTGCGTTAACTTGTGTAAAGGGTGACATCTCACTGCCTTTGCTGCACCCAGCTATTGTCCCCGATTGTGCATACTGATTTTGGAATGCTAGCCAGGTGTAGGATGATTGTGATAGTTTATTCTCTTTTGCCACAGCTGAATGAACTTTCATACCACTGAGGCCTGTCTTGGATAGGTCAAGAGTGACAAGATCTTTGCAACACTCTGATCGATCTTCTATAGCCTGATAATTTCGCCTTTCGCAATATCTGAAAGACGTCCAATTCTGGGAGTTTTCTCTTTCATTTTAGGTGGTATAGTGTGAATTGAAAGTTTCAGATTTTCAGGTTATCTCGTGGGGCTGCCACCTACAATCACTTTTCGTAAATATTTTTGTCCT